AGAGAGACTGAGCGTTCTTTCTGAACTTGAGTTGTAGCCTGGTGCTTCCCTAATAAACCCTGTAATTTGTGAGTTCTGTGTGGCCACTGCAGCGAATTATCGAACCCAGGAGAGAGGTGGTGGTGCTTTGGGAGGAACGGTTGGAGAAAAGGCTGGAGGGAGGCAGCATGTTTGGCCTTGCAGTAATAGGCCTTGGATTACTGCTGTTAATCCTGTCTTCCTCTTGTGAGATTAGAGGAGGTCAGAACATGTGGCCTCCTTGCCATTTTTGCACCATTCTAACATAACTAAAACACTAATACTATGTAATTATATGATAAAATATGTATGACTTATGGTCCCTAAATAACTTCATTTTTCTTTCTTTTTCTATTGTGTGTTATTGTCTCATAAGTTTGTTTCTTTCTTTCATAAGGTCCCAGATTTCATATCAAACCTCAGGCAGGAATCTTACAATTCAAAAGTGAGAACTTCAAAGTCAAAGTGAAAAATTAAAAGTGACAACCATACAATAAAGTTGCAAAAACAGGAGTAAATATCCTGACTAATTCTTAATAGTTCTTTCATTATACAGAAATTTATGGAGCTTTTACTCTGTAAGCTCTTACTATGCAAGGATTGTAAGGCTGATGGAGGACCAAGCAGTGTTTCGTTCTGTTGTACACAGGGTCTCTATGAGTCAGAGCTGACTCCACGGCACCTAAGAACAACTACTTACTATGTAAGAAAAACTACTAGGTGCTGGATATAAAGATGAATATTAAAAAACAAAAAACAACAATTTATTGTGAACATTTTTCAGTGTTTTCTACATCATTTTTTTCTGACATTCTAATGAATATGAGAAGATCTTTGCCTGAGGAAAGCTAGGATTAGTGGATAATATGGTTATATTTTAACTAATGAAATTACCTTTTGGTTCTCCAATTCATATAAAGCAACTGTATTGGTCAGTAAAGTTTCATGGGAGAATTGAAGAATGAATAAATTTTTGCATAAGAAGGACCTAATGAGGGCACTCTGGGAACTGTTATTTAAAAGAAGTAAAACTGAGAAAAGGTAGAAGACGAAGCCAGAGACATCACTTGGGGTTAGTAAGTTTAAGTATTATTTTATAGGTAGTAAGGGTTCAATGAATGTTTATAAAGGTGCTCTGGTGGTGCAGTGGGTATAGCATTTGGCTGCTAACCAGAAGGTCGGCAGCTCAAACCCACAAGCTGCTCTGCAGAAGGAAGATGAGGCAATCTACTTCTGTAAAGATTTATAGTCTTGGAAACCCAGAGGGGGTTACTAACAGTCAAAATTGACTCGATGGCAGTGGGCTTGTTTCTTCTTTTTGTGGTTTTAGGACTCAATGAATGTTTATAAAACCCATAAATCAGTTTAGCTTTTCACTAAAGTACCTTGGAAGGTAATGAAAGCCATAAAGTTGCAATACTGATACCATGGGGGCTGTGTAAGGGGACTACTGTAGTTTTCAGACAAGAGGTTAAAAATCTTGAATAAGATGCTAGCTAGCTAGCTAACAAGATGCTAGATTTGGGAGCAAGTTGTTGGCGTGAAGATGACCCAAAGTTTTCTAACAATGATCAGAATGGATGGTATTATTATCAACCAAGAGAGAAAAACTGAGTAGGGATGATTTCCCTGGAGATAATAAATTTTGAGTATGACATATGGTTAAGAAGACCATGGGGCCAGATGGAAATGTCCAATGTCTGGGAATCAGGAGAAATTTTGGGATTGGTAGTCGATGCCGTGCCACACCAAAAAAGAAAAAGAAAAAAGCAGGTAGAACAAAAGAAAAGATTAGGAACAAAACTTGTCAACCAAACAACATTTGTTGTTGTTGTTGTTGTTATGTGCTGTCAAGTCGGACCCGACTCATAGTGACCCCTCCT